GCCCAGGCGAGGTGAGCGGGGACAGGTTGCCGGCATGGCGACCGGCATCACCAAGCGCTCAGCCGTGGCGGCGGCAGCCAGCCAACGCATGCAAGCACGGCCGAGCGAGGCCGCCCAGCGGTGGTGTTGCTGCCGGCGCACGACGCCTGCTCCCTGCCCCCACACACACACACCAACACCCCAAGGGGGCCGCCCTTGCTCACTTGCGGGACATCGTGATCTCGATCTCCACGCTGGGCTCGCCCGTCTTGGGGTCGCGGCTGTCGTACTTGGGCGCGGGGTCGGTGGCGGTGAAGGGGTCGGTGGGGTTGAAGCGGTTGGTCTGCATGGCCACTTGGTCGCCGCGTGCCAGCCCTTGATGCCCGCGATCCATTTTGCGGCGGGGGGGGGGGGGGGGATGAGTGTGTGTGTGGGCAAGCATGTGGGCGGGCATGTCCGGCAGGACTTGGGATGATGGCACACGCATGCATGCCTACCTGGTTGCATCGGTGCATGCATCCGCAGCAGGCAGCGCACAGGGGCAATGAGGTGCAGCTGCAGCAGCGGCGGGGGGCAGCGCGGCGCACCGGAGTGGTAGAACATGGCGAACCAGGTGACGGGCACGGGGCAGCCGTTGGCCTGCTGCTTCTTGCCCAGCACGCCCTGCATGGCCTCGTAGGGCAGGCTGTCCAGGGCGTTGTCGTGGGAGATCTGCAGCAGGAGGAGGGAGGGCAGGAGGACAGGGGAGGATCAGAGAGAAGGGGCGGGGTGGCGGGCGAGGAGGCAGTGATGCACGAGGGGAGGGGCCGTGCCGCAAGTCTGCTGCCGGGCACGCGGCTGGGTGCTGCCTCCCCGCATGCCGCTCACCATCACGAACTGGGGCACCTCCTCCAGGGGCAGGTCGCCGGGCGGGGTGTAGGCGGGGCAGCGGCACGTGGGCGGCTCGCACTTTAGAGGGTCGCACTTGAACGTGTCAGTCTGCACAAGGCCCTCCTGGCCTGCGGGCGGGCAATGCACGGCAGGCAGCCAGGTGAAACGAATGCAGGGTCGGCGCAGCCCTGTGGCCCAGGCCCCAAGGACCTCCAACAACTGCCCGTGCTGCCGCGGCGGCAGGAGCAGGCGGCATGATCCTGCGGCAGCAAGGGGAGGCGCCCATTGGCGCCCGCCGCGGCATTCCGACACCCACCTGCTGCAAGATAGGCCGAAGCCAGCAGCACAGCGAGAACAGCGTGCCGCATGGTGCTGCCCGCTGTCCAACTACCAAGAGCCGTTGGGCTTGCGGAGCCCTGCAGGCAGGCGCGGCATCGATGCTGAGGGCTGCTGCAATGTGAAAGAACGCTGCTGGGCCGCCCGCAACGCGGCGGGGGCGTGGGGACACTCCCGCAGATGCTCACCTGTTGCTGTGTGTGGGAGTGCTGGAGTCTTCAGACTCACAAACACTGTCGGAAGGCCGGTGTCGACACGATGGAATGCGCAAGACAGCCCAGGCGGGGTGCGCACCGCGTCCAAAAAGGCTGTGGCACTCTTGCAGGTACAGGGAGGTACAGCCAGCGTGGCAGGGGGTGACCCTCAACGGGGAGAGGCACAGAATGGCTCAAATTTTGGAATTGCGCAGAAGCAATCAAGGCAAACGGCGGGCCTGATTTCGGTGGCAGCAGCAGCACCATCCCATCAGATACAGGGCATCTGAGTCTCCAAAGAGGTGAGTGAGGGGCTGTTGAGCCTTGGAATGCGCTACAGGCACGGCAGGCAGCCAGGGCTGTGCCGTAGTGGCGTCCCTGGCCGAGCATCTTGACGCTGCGGGCGGGACAGCGACGCCACACGTGGCCAGCTGGCGGCTGACCATTCCCCTCCCTGCCCATGCAGGGCCGCCATGTCGTCCCCCCAGCAGCAGCAGCCAGGTGGGGCGCTGCGCCGCGAGTCCCCCACGACCCCCTACGGCGGCGGGGGCGTGGCGGTGGATGCCGGGCGGCGGCGGGCGGGGCAGGGCCTGCCGTCGCACGCCGCGGGCCGCGGCGGCGTGGGCATCGCTGAGGAGGCTGCGCCGGCCAGGTACCCAGTGCAATCCATCCTGGGGGCCGTTCCCATGGCCGATGCAGTGAACGCGGCTTCTGCCGCCGCCGGCACCAGCGCCACCGGAGCTGCCCCCGCAGTGGGCGTCAGCACCCCAGGCGCCGCCGCTGGCACCGCACACTACGTCATGCCCGCCCCTGTCCGAGGCCCCAACCCATTCGACCTTCGTGGCGACGCCCCCGGCCAGGCCGCCGGGGCTGGCACGCCGCCGCGCGCCTCGGTGGTGGCGCAGGTGGGCATGCACCTGCTGCCAAGCCTCGGCGGGGAGGCTGGCCCTGCTGGCAGCAGCTGGCAGCTGCTGGCACAGGGCGGGCGCAGGGCGTCGCGCATTGGACAGCATGGCACATGCATGCGTGCAGATGCACCCCCCTGATCGGCCAGTGCGTCAAGCTGCGCCGCTGCTCATGGTCAATTCTGCACTGGCACGCTGCCTCCTGCCTGCTGCCCCTCCAGCCCCAGCCTGCGCGCCAGGAGTACGCCGAGCGCCCCAGCGCGGCCCGCGAGGCGAGTGAGATGATGCCCCAGGCCGACCCCGCCGTCCAGCAGGAGCAGGTGGATGTGCTGCGGCGCACCACCGACAACACAGGTGGGTGGGGAGGGCGGGTGGCGGCGGGCCGGCGGGCTGCTGGCCTTCCCTTGGGCACCGCCAGCCAGCTGGGCAGCAAAGCGAATGCGGCCGTGGAGGTGGCAGCAGTCGCCGCCGCTGCCAGCCCTGGCGACTGCCGCAGCTGTCAAGGCGGAGCAGGGCTTGCTGCAAGCGCTGGCAGCGGCTGGTGCAGCAGCAGGCTGCTGCATGCATCTGGGCGCTAAAGTAGCGCTGCTGTCGCCCGCTGCCTGCCCCCTCCCATCGCCTGCCGCCTGCCGTGCAGCTGGCTACGACGCGGGGACCGCCTCCCGCGGCGGCGGCAGCGGCGGGACCACTGAGGCAATGACTGGGGGCGTGGCGGCGGGCAGCGGGCTGGGGGATGAGAGGCGGGCTGGCATGGGGGAACTGGAGCGCGGCCAGATGTGAGGCGCCAGCTCTTCAGCAAGTGCTGTTGAAGGGCTCGCGGCAGCAGCAGCCAGCTGCGCCGTCGATACTGTACCGCCACTCTCGCAGAAGCGGACACAGCGAGTGCCGCCATCATCAAGAACAGTGTTGGGCAGCAGTCCCAAGTGTGCATTACAACGGTGTTTGAGTTGGCGACAGTGTGACGGTTCATTCGGCTTGGATTCGGATTGGAGGCAGCAGATTGGACACAGAAATCTGGGGAAGAAAGGGCAACAAATCTGGACAGGGCATCATAGCAGCAGAAGTGAAACAAACAGACACTCAGCACAGGAATCATCAACAAAGGTAGTGCTCGGTGGCCGGTGGGGACATAGGGGAGTTCATTCAAAAGGTGGGATCAATGTGTGCTTTTGGCTTGGTGGGCACAAAAACAAAGCAAAGAGGGTGGGCACTCAATTCTCGTTACAAGAGCGGGGCAGGTGCAGATGACAGGTGCTTTGGCAATACACTGGCAACTCGAATGAAAGAAATCAAACGTGTGGGTGTCCACGCTTTCAAACAGCAGGCTGCAGGTGAGCGCAGCTTTCATCAGGCCAGGCGCACCCACGGGCAGCAGCAGGCCGCGGCAGCCGACGCCGTGCCCGGACAGCTCCAGCTGGCGGTTCACTTGGAATAGAAGCGGCCGGAGATCGA